GGAGCCTGGCGGGGCGCCCCGAGCCTGGCAGGGACCTGCGGGGAGGAACGAACTGTGGGTCCCGTTTGTTTTCGCATCTTCCCCCCGGGGTCAGCGACTCCCGCTCGCTGGCCCGTCCCGCTCTCCTCGGACCTCCAGGCTCGAGAGGGAGCGTGCGGGGAAGAGGCGAACTTGCTCCTCGCCTACATGTCATGCCCTTGCGGAAACTGCTTTCTCCCGCTAGTGGCTTTGGAAGTTGGAACTCTTTCTGGATTGGGGTTCTGGGGGGAGGAGGGGGGGGACGAACCATTTTTAACGGTCTTCTGCAGTCCAGCATCCTCTCGCTTTAAGACCTCCAGGCTCGAGAGGGAGCGTGCGGGGAAGAGGCGAACTTGCTCCTCGCCTACATGTCATGCCCTTGCGGAAACTGCTTTCTCCCGCTAGTGGCTTTGGAAGTTGGAACTCTTTCTGGATTGGGGTTCTGGGGGGAGGAGGGGGGGGACGAACCATTTTTAACGGTCTTCTGCAGTCCAGCATCCTCTCGCTTTAAAGGAGAGCGAGGAGATAGTTGCAAGGGAATTCTGAGTTATGTTTTTGTCTAAGTTAATAAAACTCATAGGCCAGGGACCATGTCTCCACTGGATTGCACAAGCAGCGATGTTATTGCTCAGAGTTATTCAAATTTAACCTCTAGACATGAGTTGACACCAGCTCTATACTCCACTGATGCTCATCTGTCAAATTTTGCAGTTTAGTGATGGCTCTTAAAGCTATGACCTCATTAAGTAGTACAAGATCTGGAGGAATGAGCACGTGGGTGTGCGGGGAACACTGTTCTGCTGAGAACTTGTCACTTTGACTTATGGAAACTCTATATGTGAAATGGGGATAGTACCACCCTTAGGGTTTTGCACGCTTGTGGTAGGGATACCCAAACTTTGACACACAAGCAAATTGGGAACTTATAGACACTCAAGGACTGCACATAGAGTGTATAGATTTATTTAAATAAAAATGGCACATGGCCATATTTCTGTCTGTCTCTTGAACTGATGTTTTGTTTAATTCATTGCACATTTCATTATTAATCAAAATAATCACAAGGCGCTATCTGCAAGCTGTATTTTACTGGCACTTTCCTTTTGGTTTGTATGTGGCCTGTCCTGATCCAAAGCAAAGGATTGTAATTGTAAGGGCTAAAGTAGGAGTGCTTTGTGGAGTTAAGAAATTGAATTTATCATAGAATCTTACACTCATAGATATCGTGTCGTTCTTGGCAAATTATGAACAAATTGTATTAAATGCTGCCCCAAATTAAGTGAAGCAATGCTATTATGTAATAAACAAGCAGTATTATAAGCACAATGTCAGGTTAAATGTAGCAGCACGTTCTAGGACTATCTTCCTGTATCACAATCATAAGTAGAATACAGTGATTTACCTGACTCTAAATAGTTCATTCCCTGAGGTTACCAGAGTAGCATTTCCTAGAAAAGTGCTTATATTTATTTGCCTAGTGCTTTACCTTGGACTTCATATGTAACATCAGTAGGATAAGAGCCTCATAGTGTCACAAGACACTAAAATATTTTTTGTACATCAAACTTCAACCATGGCAATGCCTAATTTTTTTTTTAATATTAGAACTAATATAAATGTTGAAAATTCTTTTAAACTGAACGCCTTTCTTGAATTGAAAGGGAAAACAAAACACTTTCTGTGTCTGCTGGAACAGCAACATCACTCAGCAAACATTGTTTCCAGAGTTGTGCTGAACAGTGATCCTGCCCAGAAAACGTATTAACATGTTTTATTTAATTTAAACAACTCCATTAAGCTATCAAGAAACATTTTAATTTCTAAATCCAAAAGGGAAAGTCGTTTCATTCTCCTGAATAGGAAAATATTAGCCCTCTTGATTTCCACCATCTAAGTACTTTAAATTATCCTAATGGACACTAAAACATATGAGAAGATTACTACTACCAAGTTGCTTTACAAGTCATTGCTCCTGGGCTGTGTAGGTATGGTAAAGACAAGGTTGGGGTGCAACCTATAATGTATAGGTTACTAAGCTAGGCCAAGTCCTGCTCAAGCATTTACTTATCTATGGCATATAATGGGATTATGCTTGTGAGGTACTTATTGCTGCTCTAGAAATTACTTTTTTTTTTTTAAATCTAAAGTCTCAATAGCCAGGAAAACTTGGAGCAGTCTTATAGTCATCTTGATTCTGCAGGCAGTGGAGTGATGGACGTGTGACTTTCACTGTGTAGACTCCAATCATGGTGAGCAAACTCAGCTACCAGGTTGTGTGTTCATCCTGATGTCTCCCTGGTTGTTCTGTATCCTCTGCACCACTATTGGCCATCCTCCTGAATCCTTGCTGTGCATTGGAACTCTGAGGCAGAGTAGAGTCCGTTTGTTTGCCCTTTGAGCTCCTTAAATGCAACTTCACTGATAAAACTAGATTTCTTAGACAAATCATTGTTCTTCTGATCAGAAACCACAAGATCTGAGTGGAAATACTATGTCTGAAATCGTGTAATGTTCTCAGTTTTATTCCTTAAAACTATTGGCTGTATTGAACTTCTGCAATGTTTCAACCCTCTCCTGCCAACTCGTATCCATTCCAAATCATGTGTGCAGTTTAACCACTTATGGTGAATAGACTAAATCTTGAAGATAAAGAAGCCAATTGAACGAATCTCTCTGGATGCTACCCGCAGAGGGAAATCTTATGGGACTTAACATAGAGGCCATGCAAAGTGTAGCCTGGGTTTGATGGATGGAGGAGTCTTAATTATACCCTAAACAATGTTGGATGGCCTGGGAAGGATTCAGATTGACCTAGGGGATTTTTTGACAAGAGTTGGTTTTACATGTCAGATATAGTAGAGGCTAATGAATAGACAGAGACCTGTCATCTTGATAATTTTATGAAAACTAGAACAGAGGTTGGGCTTCTCTACCAGAAAGCATCAGAAATTGATTTTAAACAGCTTCAAAATATTAGCTAAGTTGACTTGGAAATAAACTTTGAAATTTTGATTTCTGGTTCTCTCTAATGTATTACTTGATATTAAAGCAAAAACATACCCCCTTCACAGGCATGTAAATGCCAAATCTGACAGTAAACTGTTTTGAAAGTATTGTAATTTGGGTAGCTAATTTAAGCAATTTATATGCAATGGCCTTTTTCTTTAAGGGATAGAAATGAGTGTTTTGGAACAAAGCCTCCTTCTAGTCATACTTCTGGCAAAAAATGACTAAAGTCAGGATTAGAGAGCAGTGACCCTCTGAAAACATTACTGATTTTTATGTATATGTTTGCCCTCTTCTGCAGTAAAACATGTCAGGAATATGCTACAAACCTTTGCTGGCACAGTTATGTTGGTCAGGGATGTGAAAAGTTATGAACTCTCACTGATGTAGGATATTTTGCCAGACCAAGCTATCCTAAATGTAGTAATGGCCAAATAGCACTTTTGCTGGCGTAACTTATTTTGCTCTTACGGGTCGGGACTGGAATAAGTTGTACAGACAAAAGACTATTGCAGTTTTTCCAGTATAAGCTAAAGGATCACACAAGGAAGACCAGGTCATTGCGGCAAAGCTAAATACATTCTTTGCGATGGGCTTCACAACAGAGGATACCATACCTGACCCATTCTTTTTAGGTGTCACTTTTGAGGAACTGTTTCAGACTGAGCTGTCAATAGAAGAGGTTTTGGAAGAAATTAATTCATTAAATAAGTCTCCAGAATAAGTGGTATTCACACCAAGAGTTTTGATGGAATTTGGATATGAAATTGCAAGACTACTACTTGTTTGTGTAACCTATCGCTTAAATCAGCCTTTGTACCAGTTACTGGAGGGCTACTTAGTATAATGCTGGTTTTTCTTTTTTAAACAACCTCCAGAAGCAATCCTGGCGATAACTGGCTGGTAAGCCTAACTTCAGTACTAGGCCAATTGGTTGAAACTGTAGTGAAAAACAGAATGGTCAGATATGTATTTTGGGGGAAGAGTCTGTTTTGTTTTGGGGTTTTTTTGGCGGGAGGTGGGGCAAGAGAAATCATACCTAACCAATCTGTTAAAATTCTTTGAGTGTGTCAGCAAGTATATGGACAAGAGTATCCAGCAGATATAGTGTAGTTGGACTTTCGGAAAGCCTTTAACATGTCCCTCACCAAAGG